AAGTCCTGCTCAGACTTGCTTTTATGTGATTTTTGTGGTGATGATGCTCTCTTATGATACTGATGTTTTGTCTCAGGACATTGTTATTATAATGTTGCTTTATTCTCTGCTCCTCTACTAGTAAGTCCAGCTGTTCAGGTGTCTGGTTTGACCAGGGCTGAGTATTTTTGACCTGGTATTCTCAGGCTCTGGTTACATGGCCACTTCAACACAGCATAAATCTGAGCTGCCACTGGGATAGTCCTGTCCTCTCCCCCTCCAACAACTGCCTGCTCTTACCCCCTTGCTTGCCTGGCACCGCAGACCACGCAGCTGTGCATGACTCAGGTCAGCAGACTGATCCAGCTGAAAACTCACCGGCCAGGAGGGAGGCAAGAGGAGAGATCAGTTTTCCATTACTTGTTCTGCTATCTCACATCCTTTGTCTGTCATGTCTACCTTGGATGGAGCAATCACGTCTCGTGCTATGTTTGGAAAGCGGAATGGAAATGTAAGGTGATACAAGCACTGCTTTGAATAATCTTTTCCAGACTGAGGGATGTCTAACACTGCTGTGCAGAGGAAAGTGGTGTGCAAGGATCTCCTGCTGCCCCTTGGCTGGGATCAGGGCTGTGCAAAAGCCCTGGGAAATGCCAGGGAGCAATGGATCACACTGGATGGCACAGACTATTTCCCCATAAACATGAGGGGAATGCCAGGCAGCTGGTTGTCCCATGTTACAGCCCTGATCCCTGCCCCTCCATGGTCCTGCCTCTTGAGGAGGGATCACCACAAACCTCATTTTGTACATCTAAAACATCTGTCTAGCTTGTCGTGCATTTCCTTGCTACTCAACTAAAATCAACCAAATCTTGTTACTGGGGAGAGGGAGCTTGTTCTTTGTCCCTGAATACATTTGCCAAGGTTAGGAGAAATGGGTACATGTCACTGACAGAAGGCACTGGTCAAGGCATAAGATGAGAAAGATCAAGAAGAAAAGGAACTGGTGGAAGCTGTGTCACAGAAAATGCAGTTTAAAATCACTTGACCTGTTTTAACAGCAACTGGCTAATGAATGAGGCAGCCAAGGGAAGGCTCTTGGCTTTATTCCCACTCCCTGTTGGACACTCCCGGCTGAACGCATGTCAGAGCAGTCTCTATCCTGACACCAAGTGGAGAGAGCTCACAAGGACTCCTGTAAAATACGATCAAGTGTGTGAGACCAGCAAAGCCAGCTGCTGGCCCAGCCACGCCTTCCCGTGCCAGCCATCGCACAGTTTATAGGCATTTTTTTGTGTTTATAGGATGTTTTTCAAGATCCTGGCTCTTAGCAGCAGAAATTTGCAGCAAAGATAGTTGATGTACACATGATATAAATCAACTTTTTGGGCTCCTGGGGATTTTACTTTCCTACCCCGAGTTCCCAGCAGTGCTGCATGTGGTGAGCAGCCCAGTGTGTGCACGTGGAGCATCCTTGCTGGGGATGAGGTGGGTTTCCAGGGAAGAGGGGAAGTCACAGAATCACTGACTGGTTGAGGTTGGCAGGGACCTCTGGAGGTCATCTAGTCCAACATCTCTACTCAAGCAGGATGACACAGAGCTGGGTGCCTTGAACCTTTTCCATACAGCTTTTGACAGTCTTAAAGGGTGGAGAATTCATTGCCCTGAAAGCAAAGAGGTGGGTCCCTTTTCCTTGGGAGGAAGGGTTGGTGCTTGGTCACATAAGGTGTTGGGCAGGGTGGCCCCACCATGCTGCCAAAGAGCAAGGCAAGGTGTACAGACACCTGAGCCTGGCATCTCCTACATCACGTCTGATTCTTGTGTCCCCACACGCTCCATCTCCAGCCTTCCCCTCATTATCTCAGGAGGAGTTTGGACTTGATTTCTGCCTTCCTTACACATGAGACCTCCAGCAAAAGTATCACAGAGTGCAGCTCATGTCCTCACCCTCACCTTGAGCACCTCTAACTCCTCCTGAGCAACACTTCTTTTTTGACCCTGGCCCTGAGATTAAGGAGAGAGCACTGCCAGATAGGGATCCCTCACAGATTCAGCCTCTGAAGCCCAAAGCATCCCATGAACATTTGCAGTTGTTTTCTCCCTTAGTGTTTTACTCTTCATTCTTACTTTATACTCATTTATTTCTGCCTCCCAGGGGGTGGAAAGAAAACCCCTCATTCAGTTGCAAAGCACCAGAAAGTCACAGAATCTCCAGTACCAGCTGTGGACTAAACCTCAAACCCCCAGCCAAGAAGCAGCAGCATCCAAGATAGATCACTCTGCACCAGAAAGGTGACAGCTTGTCTCCCATGGAAAAACTACATCAATTTAACACAGAAAGGTACTAAACACACTTAGCATTGAGCTGTCCCATCCCTCTAATGGATAGCATTCAAAAGCAACAAAGAAAGGAGGCATCAATGATGATGAATTTATGCAGGAAGAAGCATTCAGTGTCTGCCTTGTGTTTTAAGTCATCTCCTAATTACTTTACATAGGAAAAAGTAAGAAAAAAAAATATCACACATGGACTTACCCAGCTGATCCAGAGCAAAGAGGGCTGAGGCACCTTCAGAGAGCTCATTGTCTGAGGAGAGAAGAACAAATGCTTGGAAAGGTCAGCTGGAAAGGGGGGTGTGGAGAGTTGGGGCGACAACTCTGTTTTAGCCACACTGCAGAAAAGCCCCTGCTCAACCTGCTGCCACTTCACCCCGACAGCCTTGATATGTGTATTTATTTTAATCCAGCTGTTATTGAAAAACCTTGCAGTCAGCTCTGGATGGAGACTTGTCAGGATGAACCTTTCCCCCCTCCAGCGCTGCCAAAGAACAAGAGCTCTGCTTCCCTGTCTCTGCACATGCTGGGACCCCCTGGCTGTGGGGATCTCTGCCCCCTTTCCCCTGCTCTCCCAGGTCTCAGGGCATGACCAGGAGCATCCTGCTTGCAGCAAAGCTTTCCTGTGTGCTACAAGGATCTCCAACAATGGCAGCTGGGGTAGGTTTAACCGCCGGGAGCAGGAAAATGCTCCAGCTAAGATTTCTCAGAGACCGTGCAAAGCCTTGAGTCACCTGATAATAATATCTCTGTAACTCGGTGTCTGTGGCAGGTTAGACCATGAACTCTGAAAACTCCTGAGCTGGTAGCATCTCTCCCCAAAAGCTCATGGGAGATTATTTTGGATCCCAAGCCCAACCCTACCGTGACCCCACCCATCCTTGCCTGCTCCCACCTGCAGACCACAGCACACATGGATCCCTCTCTGCCACAAGAACCTGCAGCCACACAGGAGCATGTGGCCACATGTTAAATGCTAGTTTTGCCTTCGAGTTGGTGGATACTTCTTTATTTTCAAACATTTCTTTCAATGTCAAAAAAATACTGAATTGCAGAAACTCAATACAGAAAATCAATTTTAAAAAATGCAGGGATTGGTTTTTTTTCCTAGTGATTTGGATTTTTTCCTTTCAAGTTAATGATATTTGTTCAATCCATGGGTTGGACTAAAAAACTTTTTGGTCTGAAATCTGTGGACTCCTCCTAGGGGCTTCAAGGAGGATGTTTAGGAAGGGCAGGTGCATGATACCATATAGTAATCCATACCTGTGACATTTCTAAAAGATCTTGCTCCCCACTTTAAAATGCTGTTAAGCCCATCAGCTAGAAGAAGCTGTGAGCCACTAGTTTAGAATAGCAACAAACTGCATGTAAAGCCAAAGTCAAATGTCTATTCATATTTAACTGCTTTGGCTTTTTACAAATTCCTGATGGCATCAGCTCTCCCCTCCTCTGCATTACAGATCCAAGCACAGTGGGATCCCAAATCCAACAGTATCATTCAACCTATAAACAGACCACACACATGGAGAAGATTTTATCAAAATAACAGGAGCAGAGATTGTCCTAACGGGCAAAATGCCTGGGCTGCAGCAAACATCCCTGGGCTGGGTACCTGCCGCAGGAGGAGCTGTGCTATCCTAAGGATGCCACCCAGTGGTGCTTGGCTGGGGAGACTGAACCCAGGGCTGCTGCATTCCAAAGCATAAACCTCCTTATCTACTGCAACTCTCCTGGAAAAGGAGGCGATGCCGCTTCTTGGATTGTCCCCTTCCCCAGGCATCTGGGCTATCAGCGGGAAGCCGAGGGAAACAGATGGAGATAAGTGCAGCGTTTTACCCAAACAAAACGTTTCCGTTCCCAAGGTGCTGTCATCTGGAAGGCTGTGGGTTTGTTTTGGTTTTACTCCGAGGCACAGCGTGTCCCAGCCAAAGAAGGAGCTTTGCCCGAGGAGGGGCAGCTCGTGCTGGCCTGGGGGATGGGGCTGAGCAGGGAGCACATGTGGCTGCTTCTGCAAGATGTTCGAACGGGGATTAAAAAGCTGGGTGGAAATTAGGTAGAGATTAATCCATAGAGGCACTAGTTGTGATGGGTATTCCCTCTGCTCTGAGTGTTCTACTGAGATGGGCAGTTCCTGGAGAGCAACAGACCCAGCCTTGGGCTGGGGGGTCTGTCATGCTAAGGTGGGCTGAAACCTTGAATGGTCCTGCTCAGAGAGCCCCAGCCAGGGCAGCTCTTGGCCCTCCTGCCACTGCTGGGACAGCATGTCCCACACAATATGATTGAAAAGAGAAAGGGATATTTTGCCTGCTTGCCTCCTCATACCTCCCCAACCACTGCCATCTGCTGAGTTCTGCTTGCAGAGAAGGAGGGTGATCACATCTAGCACAAGTGGCATATTACCTTGCCAGAAAGTAAGTGTTGGATTGTGGGATTTTTTGCAAAAGACCACCCCAGAGAAGGAAGGCAAGTTGCAGATGAACTGCCTGTGTCAGTGTGCCAGGTCCTAGCAAGACACTGTAGCTTGTGTCAGACCTTTCCCACCTTCATGCTGAGTTCTGCCTTGCTCCAGGCACAGCCCAACAGAACTGCTGAGACTGCTGCAAACACAGTGAAGGGCAGCAGCACATTGAGAGGGCTCCCAGCACACTCACTGGGTGGATTAAAAACCAGCAATCATGTCCTACCTCCTGTCACACTGGCAAAGGCATGGATCCCACCATGAGACAACCAGTTGGATTCATCCAGCTTCCAGCTTTCACCAGGGTCCATCTCTGATCTGCAGCATCAAAGATACGCTTGCAATGCTTCCTGCAGCTCTCTCTGGGGAACAACCAGAAGATACTCTGAGTGGACAGGAGTTCTGGCCTTTTCTCCTGTGCCCCAGCCCCTCCATGGACAGCAGCTGCAGGTTGGGAGTTATCAGTTACACATGACAAGCCGGTGCTGCCACTGACCCCTTGGCTCTCACAGCTCTGCCAGCCCTGGAGCAGTGGCTGTGAGCCACCAGGGATGGATGGAGACCCTTGAGCAGTTAAAGCTGGAGCTCCCAACCCCAAAAAAACTCTCTTTCTGGTGTAGACACTGAACAATTATCCTGTCTAATAGCCGCTTAGTGTTACCTACAGGTTTGCTGCAGCTCTAAGTACATGGGCATGTTCTCTCCCTGACCTTCTGGACCTGTGCATCCCTGGTGGGTTAAGCACACAGGGATATTTCATCCATCCCTTAATTTTGAGGATTACATGGACTTGGGAGGGAATAAAGTCCTTCCACTGTCAACAACCTCTAATTTATCAAGGAAGCACACACCAGTGTTGGGATGCAACAAAAATTTACTGCAGAGCTTTCGTGCCTCAGCATGAAGATGCTGAAGAGG